AGCCGGGCCTCCACATTAGCCTCTATGTTATAAACAACTCTTAAGCAGTACGTAAATTATAAACGTACCCTGAATAGGAATAAAAAAATTATTTCAAAAATGGCAAGGATATATGATACAATGTCTGAACATATGGTATGGCTCTCATAGTCGCTGTAGTGGTTCAGGAAAGATTGATGGGAAGAAGTGGTCAGTAAATTCAAAACCCTCGTTAAACGTATTCCAGTATTATAAGTATAACCATTAATACGTTTATAAGTTTATAATATACGTTATTTGTGCAACTACTATTAGGGATAATAATATTTATTTCAAAAATGGCAAGTATGTATGATACAATGTATGAACATATGGTATGGCTCTCGTAGTCGCTGTAGTGGTTCAGGAAAGATTGATGGGAAGAAGTGGTCAGTAAATTCCCGTTTGAAGCTTGGGCCAAGTGAGTCGACAATGGAAGATATGTGCTGAGTCAATTCGGGCCGGTGTTGACAAAATACTGTTACTATCGAATGTTCCATATATTTGCTTGCTGACCTAATAAGTAGAGTACCCACCTCTGTAGTACGGATCGGGTCTGCGCCGTGTAGTGCCGCGGAATGGGTTAGTGCAGAGTACGAAATACCGAGAAGGACCAGGTTATCCGTCATAATCCGGTCGAGAAGCGAGGATGGGGGTAAGCCAAGAACCCGCTATTTTTACATAGCACCCCCCCCCCCTCAGCTTGAAAATTTCAATGTTGGCTTATATGTGGTATTAGCACATAGACTCAAAAAGCCCACATGAATTGTACAAGCAAAAAGAAATAAAACGGGTTTCGATCATATTACGGCCTCAATGCTTATGTTATATTCTCTTAGAAAAAGTATACTTCGACTTTATAAGTTACTCGGATTCTAGGGAAGTACAAACATGAGGATATGACATATTACACTACGGAGTTCGCCGATGGAGCACAGTATGATCTTCCACCATTAGCATTTGATTATCCGGATGTATTAAAGGCTTTTAATAAGAAGTTTCGCAAACGCTTACACAAAAATAAGGCTGATGCAGAAGCAATCTTATCATCAATTAAGCGACCTTCCCTAGAATCTTCTTAAACTCGTAAGACATAAGAGGTGTAGTAGCTTCACGTGTGCGACGAAGGATGATCTCTGTCGTAGGGATTCGATGTGACCTGATATTTAAGGCACTAGAGCCGTCAACGTTGTTAACTTCATACGTTCCGCTCTTCTTATCGGCCACAGAGATCATAAATGGTCCAATATATTTAGCCGTGAGCACAGTTGTATCGGAGATGCGAGCCATAATGTTGACTATATCGCCTACCTCAACTCGACTATTTTCTTGGTATCATTCCATCGCTTTTGTCTCTTCTTGAGAGCGATGTCCTTCATCTCCCTTAAGCAAGGATACACCACATCTCTGGTCCGACGCATCTTCTCTAACCATGGTAACACATGATCATCTTGAGACTCCTTGTTGAAAGGGATCTGTATTTCACCATAACAGCCCTGGAAATAGTGTGCGGTTTCCCTGTCAGACCGTATCTTGTTGTAGAAGGCTTTTGCTAGTGTTGCGCTTCTCTTTGATTACTTTTAATTTGGCTGTATCTCGGTAACACATACTGCAGATGCTTGTGTTGTCCCAATCTCTGATTGAGACTTAGGATTCAAGAGTGGAATCTGGGATTCCTCAACCTTCTGTTTGAAAGTCTCGGATGGTGTCCACTTGGTTGTTCCAACTGGACCTATTTGACATATTATAGTTTGTCGCCAAGGCGTCTTTTGGACTGCACGGGTACCCTGGTAGAGAAAGGTATCTATCTACCTTTCTATCCACATAGATCAGCTCACATTGTATCATTGAGATCAACTGCGGTAGCCATCTATCTGAGTTTCTTAGGGGACAGCACAACGTGATGGTAGCATCTTGAATATGTATATAATTTAGCAACTGTGGTATTAAAAGTCATGGAGGATTTGCCCAGGCATCCTCGTTAGACGAGTCTATCTGGAATCCGTCTCCGGTACCTCGGCAGTTGTGCATTATGATGAGCGGCAAACATATCTATGGTATGTGGTCCATATATGTTGTCAGCGATCTTAAACCACCTAGGATTGGCCATCCAATCCGTAGCTAGTAACTCCCTAACCATTTTGTTAAAGTCTGGTACGAAGCGAGACAACATGTCGGGAAAGTGATTGTGAATACCCGGTATATGCGTTATGCCGAAAGAAAATTTTGCGATCGTGTCATGCCACCGATTGACTAACTGTGAGTTAGGTTTCATGTCCTTTAGGTGTTGCAATGACTTCTGATCACATAGTACGTTAAAATGTGTGCCATATAGATAGTCCTTAAAATGAGTGAGTGCAGTAACAATAGGCAAAAGTTCTTGTTGCACGATAGGGTAATTGATCTGAGACGAATTCATAGCTCTGCTAAAGAACTGTGCATATCTCGATTCCCCATCAATCATTTGATACAGAACGCCGCCGAGTGCCATGTCGGATGCGTTTGTTGCTACCATGAATGGAATACCATCCTTTGGTGGCTGGACTATTGGTGCCTGTTGAACCACTGTTTTGAGCTGCTTAAATGCGTCGTCACAGTCTTTGGTCCACAGTGCGCCTAGTTTTCCTTTATGACATCTCAAATATCCAAAGGGCTTTAAATAACTTGTCAGGTGTGGTACTCCGTCAGACAAAAAGTTGCCGAATCCGCATATGCTGTTGACATCCTTACCCGCGGTAGGAGTTCTCCAGTCTAGCAAGTGTCCGACCTTCCCGGGATCGATCATGATTTCATTCCCGGATACTCGGTAACCCAACAGCTGAATCTCGTTAACACCGAAGTGACATTTCTTATTGTTGATCTTAAAGTTGTGCTCGTTGAGTCTGTCTAGAACCTCTCGCACAACCCTGTCGTGCTCCTCTTTGGTTTTGGTGAATACCACAATGTCACCGATGTATACTTGTACATTGTCCATGTCCCTTAACAAGTCTTGCATAATTTGTTGAAAGAACGCAGGTTACATGTGTAACCCAAGGGGGGCACCTTTGAACGAATATTGTTCACCCTCCCAGGTAAAAGTGAAATATTTCCGGTGTGGTTTGTAGATCTTCATCTGGTGGTAGCCCTGCTTCAGGTCGATAGTGGAGAATATCTTAGCTCCCTCCATGCGCCTGAGTAGTTCGTTTATCCTTGGTAAGTGAAAATTGTGTGTCGGTATCAAAGCATTAATTGGGCTCATATCCAAACACACTCGAACTTTCTTCAGCGTCCCGTCAGAGTTGAATTGGTCGACGGCTAAAAGCGCTAGGTTGACGGGAGTCGGCTCATAGTTGACTGCGATCACTCCGTCATCTGTTCTCGTACGACCTGCTCATGACGCCATGCAACATAGTTACGTGTAGGACACTTCAATTTCGAGAAATCTACTCTCGTCAAGTCTAGACTAACGTATCCGTTTTTGAATTTGAACTTAGCCCAGTCAGTGATCCGAATCTTGTCATTCTCGAAAATCAAGTCCTTGAGGTTCTCTGTAAAGTGAGGGATCATCTCCTTCACAGTCTTCGAAGGTTTATATACCGGTTTTAACAAGTTGTCGTCCGACTGATCCTTCTGTGGTTTAATGTTAGTAGGTAAGCCTGTAATTGTGATACCTAATGACAATTAATCACTCCTACCTACTATGAGATCATAGTCTGGTGAAGTGTTACATATGACTGCCTTAGTAACTATAGTACGTTGGTCTGTCAGTGTAAACCTAAGATCGATTGCCATTTCTCTGCAAGTGACTTCTCTTTCATCAGCCAGTTTCAACATAGTTGGCTCTGACTTACGAGTTACGTCTGTCATTTTACAGAATCTAGAGGATATACATGAAATTTGCGAGCCCGGATCTAACAACGCTTTTATTTCATGCCCGTTAACTCGTATATCAAGGATTACACGCTCGTCTTGAGGTGCGTCCTTTTGTCTTAGTGACAAGACCCAGTATATTTGTCACTTAACTTCCACTTTTGGTTTCACCTTGCATGTATGCTTGTGGTAATCTCCAGTCCCGGTACAGTCGGCACACTTCTCGATAAAGTGCTTACACTTTTCTGCGTGCCTTCCATTCCATCGGCCATTCGGCTTATGTTGGGTCATTCGCCAATTGCAATCAGTCTCACTACAGTTCTTGAACTCCCTATGCTCAGGCTTAGGGTTGCCTGCCGGCGGTCCATTTCTGTTGGTCTGGTTACCCTTAGGGATGACATTGATCTTGTTGCCTTCAGAACCATTTGTATTTTTGTTCTTATTGCCACCCTTGTCACCACCTTTGTTTATCTTCTGACCTCCATTAGTGGACTGAGAGTCTCGACCATTGCCTGATCCTCCAGTAAGATTGCCGCTGACCTTTTTCTGAGCATTAGTGATTTTCACCACGGAACTAGGGCGTTTGGTAAACGTCTGATCCGCTCTCGAGTAAAATTCAGCCCAGGTGAAGTCCGCTAGCTTCATTATACCGTAGGTAGGTCCCTCGATGGAGATCTCTCGTACCTTGTCCGGGTAAAATTGATGCATATCGGCGTACAGAATCTCTTGATCTCTCCTATGTAGGTTTGACCAAAAGATTGTCTGCACCTATGATACACACATGGATAAACCCCTAAAATCTGGGCCCGTGACATGTGTGTGTCCAACTCTAATAAGTAGTGGGACACCGGCATTCCTTCTTCCGGTGGTATCATGATCGATACAAGCAATCCACTTACGACGTTATGTTGGATGATCATTTGGATCCGGATTTTCTGTACCATACGCCAGCACTTCGAAATATCTACATATATCTTCAGGCACGATTTGTATGTACTCATTAACTGGAACATCGTCGAGTCGTATGTATGTATCCCAATTTTCATCAGGTTTCCAATATGTAAGAAAAACTCTTCATGTTTTTTATATAAGCTGCAAGTACATTAGCCTTCACCATGTTGTTCTGGATGTAGACTGGGTATATTTAATTTATGTGTGTTAGTGTGTAAGAATATGGGGTTGTTTGTTGTATTTCTCACTTATTTGTATTTGCTATGTTTTTAATTTTACATACGACCGTCTTGAATTTTTGTGTAAAATCAATAAAATTTCACGTGCGCTCAACCAATGGAAGTTAAATATCGAGTCAAAGTCGCACAAAGTAAACCAAAATGCAATATTTGTAGTACTGTGTATAAGCGTTTTACAACCAAAATGTGAGTTTTACCTGGACATCATAAAATAACAAAAAATAACAATGACTGCAAATATATTTTTGGAATGCATGTGTTTTACCTGAAAACATACTATAACCTCGGATCGACATAGATAAGCGTATGTGAGACGTTAGTATGGTTAATAGAGTGATTGTGAGGCAGCCTACAGCGCCTCCTAAACGAAAGAAGTGGTTGGCTAAGTGCATATGTGGTCAGGAAGGCTGTTTAAAGATAGGTGATCGTATTATATCCCTGCCAAAATCGCTGAAACCTAATAGTGCATCACACAACGAAGAAGCAGATGCATTGGCTCGCAAGTACATTCGATGCTTACTACCCGGAATCGAGGAAACCTATATGGTTGCTATTCTAGCGAAACGAGGGGCAAAGGGCCAGAAAAATAA